CAGATGACACCACTTTGATGGTCGAAAGCAAGGAGGAGCTGAGGAGCCTTCTAATCAAGGTGAAAGAAGAAAGCGCAAAAGCTGGGTTGCAGCTAAACATCAAAAAAGCCAAGATGATGGCAACTGGACTGATTGCAAATAGAGGGGGAAAACGTGGAGGCCGTGTATTTCTAGGTGCAAAGATTACTGCAGACACAGACTGCAGCCAGGAAATCAGAAGACGTTTCCTTCTAGTGAGGAGAGCAATGTCCAATCTTGATAAAATAGTGAAGAGTAGAGACATCACACTAGGCAATGAAGATCCGCATAGTCAAAGCAATGGTATTCCCTGTAGTCACCTATAGATGTGAGAGCTGGACCATAGGGAAGGCTGAGCGAAGGAAGATAGATGCTTTTGAACTGTGGTGTTGGAGGAAAGTTCTGAGAGTGCCTTGGACCACGAGAAGATCCAACCTGGGGCAGCCTGGGGCAATCTTTTGTTGAGAGGTGATTAGATATGCCTGATTGTTTCCTCTCTGCGGTTTTGCTGTTCTAATTTTAGAGGTTTTTTTTTTAATACTGATAGCCAGATTTTGTTCATTTTCATGGTTTCCGCCTTTCTGTTGAAATTGTCCACATGCTTGTGTATTTCAATGGTTTCTCTGTGTAGTCTGACATGGTGGTTGTGAGAGTGGTCCAGCATTTCTGTGTTCGCAAATAAAATGCTGTGTCCAGGTTGGTTTATCAGGTGCTCTGCTATGGCTGACTTCTCTGGTTGAAGTAGTCTGCCATGCCTTTCATGTTCCTTGACTCGTGTTTGGGCAATGCTGCGTTTGGTGGTCCCTATGTAGACTTGTCCACAGCTGCATGGTACACGGTAGACTCCTGCAGAAGTGAGAGGATCCCTCTTGTCCTTTGCTGAACGTAGCATTTGTTGGATTTTCTTGGTGGGTTTGTAGAATCATAGAATCAAAGAGTTGGAAGAGACCTCATGGGCCACCCAGTCCAACCCCATTCTGCCAAGAAGCAGGAATATTGCATTCAAATCACCCCTGACAGATGGCCATCCAGCCTCTGTTTAAACGCTTCCAAAGAAGGAGCCTCCACCACACTCCGGGGCAGAGAGTTCCACTGCTGAACGGCTCTCACAGTCAGGAAGTTCTTCCTCATGTTCAGATGGAATCTCCTTTCTTGTAGTTTGAAGCCATTGTTCCTGCGTCCTAGTCTCCAGGAAAGCAGAAAACAAGCTTGCTCCCTCCTCCCTGTGGCTTTCCTCTCACATATTTATACATGGCTATCATATCTCCTCTCAGCCTTCTCTTCTTCAGGCTAAACATGCCCAGCTCCTTAAGCCGCTCCTCATAGGGCTTGTTCTCCAGACCCTTGATCATTTTAGTTGCCCTCCTCTGGACACATTCCACCTTGTCAATATCTCTCTTCAATTGTGGTGCCCAGAATTGGACACAATATTCCAGGTGTGGTCTAACCAACGCGGAATAGAGCATGGGTAGCATGACTTCCCTAGATCTCGACACTAGGCTCCTACTGATGCAAGCCAAAATCCCATTGGCTTTTTTTGCCGCCACATCACATTGTTGGCTCATGTAGATACTTTGTATGTTGTATTTCCTCATCAGCTTCCCTATGCAGTCAGTGGTTCCCTTGATGTATGGCAAGAAGACTTTTCCTTTTATTTTGATTGTTGCTACTCTTTGTCACTTCCAAACTTGTGTAACTGTGACAGTGCAATCAAGAATGGATTCAAATTACAGGGGAAAAATTGCCACCTAAACATGAGGAAGAACTTCCAGATGGTAAGATTTGGTCAGTAGTGGAATATACTCTCAGAGACTGGTGGGATCTCCCTCTCTGGAGGGCTTTGATTGTGTGTTCCTGCCTGACAGGAGGGGGGTTGGATTGGGTGGCCTTTCAGCTTTATGACTTTATTATTTTAAGCAATCTAATTTCCACATGGCTGTGTCTGGTTTGTTTGTTTGCTGGTCTATTGTACAAAGTTCATCGTGAATGAAAAATATGATGTGAGAAGCAACCTGTGGAGACAGACCAGGGGAGCCAGAATATCCCAATGATGTCCCCACTGTGTCATGTGTAATAAACACATCAAATTAAACCACCCTGGCTCTTGGCACCTGTAGTGCGACACTGCACTTTGGGCAGACTATTTCAGAGCATGTTCTGAAGCATCTTCCCTGTTTCTCCTAGCTTATCAAATAAGCAGAAGGAAGAGGAGGAAGGGACTCGAAAAGAGATGCGTTGGGTCCTTTTGTTTCCCTGAGCTGAGGAGAGACTGGCACACCACCTCCCCCACCCCTTGCAGTCATGTCACTTCAGTTTAAATCACAGATCCTGCCAAAAAAGAGAGAGAAACTCAACCTGAGCAGAGAATTTTAATAGCTTGTACACTCATGAACTCCCTAACCCTGTTTCGTATTCAGAACAAGGGCTGTCTGTTTCCATATTAATGATGAACATATGCCCAGTTCTCATGGCTTCCCGGTTCGGAAAGAAAAGGGCGCGGAGGAAAAAGTGGCAGCTTGTCAAATGATTCCCCAGAAGGAACAAGAGGAAGGCGGCAACGGCAGCAGGAGGGAGAGCAAAAAAAAAAAAAGCAAAGAGGGAGACGGATGGACCGCCACGAAACACGATTCAGTAGGGAGAGTCTCCAGGTGAGACATTCCCTCGGATGGCAGGCCATATTTAATTGGGAGAGGCTCAAAGGACTCGGGCACCTGGAGCCAAAAGGAGAGGCTCTCCCCAATCTAGGGAAAAGCACAGGAGAAGAAGAAATCTATTCACATTTCAGGAAACGCTGCAATTCCTCTTATTTCCTTGTACAGAACCTCCCATGGCCTGCTATGCTGTGGAGTTGGTGCTAGACAGCTTGGCTCTCTCAATGCTAAGCAGAGTACAACAAAAGAAAAGAATACAGGATAGTGTTCCAAAACTATGGCGCTCCCAACATTTTGGATTTCACCTCCCAGCATTCCTTACTGTTGGCCAAACTAGATGGAGTTTCCAAGAGTTTACATTCAAAAGAGCTAGCAGACCAATCTTTGGGAGCCACCAATACAAGACCTACTTATCATAGAATCATAGAATCAAAGAGTTGGAAGAGACCTCATGGGCCATGCAGTCCAACCCCCTGCCAAGAAGCAGGAATATTGCATTCAAATCACCCCTGACAGATGGCCATCCAGCCTCTGTTTAAAAGCTTCCCAAAGAAGGAGCCTCCACCATACTCCGGGGCAGAGAGTTCCACTGCTGAACGGCTCTCACAGTCAGGAAGTTCTTCCTCGTGTTCAGATGGAATCTCCTCTCTTGTAGTTTGAAGCCATTGTTCGCGTCCTAGTCTCCAAGGAAGCAGAAAACAAGCTTGCTCCCTCCTCCCTGTGGCTTCCTCTCACATATTTATACATGGCTATCATATCTCCTCTCAGCCTTCTCTTCTTCAGGCTAAACATGCCCAGCTCCTTAAGCTGCTCCTCACAGGGCTTGTTCTCCAGACCCTTGATCATTTTAGTTGCCCTCCTCTGGACACATTCCAGCTTGTCAATATCTCTCCTGAATTGTGGTGCCCAGAATTGGACACAATATTCCAGGTGTGGTCTAACCAAAGCGGAATAGAGGGGTAGCATTACTTCCCTAGATCTAGACACTATGCTCCTATTGATGCAGGCCAAAATCCCATTGGCTTTTTTTGCCACCACATCGCATTGTTGGCTCAAGTTTAACTTGTTGTCCACGAGGACTCCAAGATCTTTTTCACACGTACTACTCTGAAGCCAGGCATTGTCCCCCATTCTGTATCTTTGCATTTCGTTTTTCCTGCCAAAGTGGAGTATCTTGCATTTGTCACTGTTGAACTTCATTTTGTTAGTTTTGGCCCATCTCTCCAATCTGTCAAGATTGTTTTGAATCCTGCTCCTGTCCTCTGGAGTATTGGCTCTCCCTCCCCATTTGGTGTCGTATGCAAACTTGATGATCATGCCTTCTAGCCCTTCATCTAAGTCATTAATAAAGATGTTGAACAGGACCGGGCCCAGGACTGAACCCTGCGGCACTCCACTTGTCACTTCTTTCCAGGATGAAGAGGAAGCATTGCTGAGCACCCTCTGGGTTCACAAAAACTACTGAAGATAGACACAGATTCGATAGAAATATCAAATACACCTGTACATGTATAACAGGATATTAAGTGATATAATAATTTCATTAGATACTCCTCAGTATGTGCATGTAACATTAAAATATTGATGTATCATGAAAGCTTGGGAGTTCTCCTGGATTCATTGTTGAGCCTGGAACCCTAGGTCTCGGCGGTGGCCAGGGAAGCTTTTGCACCCATATCTTGGGAAGTCAGACTTGGCCAAGGTGGTCCATACTCTTGTTACATCAAGGCTAGACTGCCGCAATGCGCCCTATGTGGGGCTGCCACTGGTTTGTATCCTAATCTCTGGATCAGTCAGAAAGCGGGTTTGCTCCATGACGCCAGGGTCGTTTTGCCTCCTGCCACAACAGTGCTGCAAAAGAGCCCCCCCCCCCCCAAGGGCTGATCCCTTCTCCAGCCCAAGGCAACACCCTTTTTTGTTGTGAATCCCAGACTTGCAGAATGCTTTCCCAATTAAGTCTTCTCCCCTCCGCACTTGAAAGACTTCGCAAAGGCGGTTTTAATAGCAGCACCTACAGCTATTTCCAACCAACTGTTCTGCTATATTAAACTGTATCCTCCTTGATTACAAGGCATAAAAAATCTTCTTAAAAAGAGCTGCAACTTTTATTTAAACCAACATAACCTGAAAGATGCAAACGAGCAGCCTGGAGAAAGGAAATTAGATCAAAAACAAGGCCCTGCTGGGTTTTTCAAATGTTTACGACTTTTTTGCAGCTAGACATCTCCTACCGTTTGGCGTCCTGTCCCTCGGTCATGTGAAGCAACGCAGCGGCTGTGAATATTAATTAATTATGTGAATGGCCCTCCAAAAGGAAGGGAGATCCCTCACCTTGACGCTCCCTCCAATGAGATCAGGGGGCTCCTCATCTGTTTCTAAGGCAACGTTGATGGAGGCAAAGGGACGGCTGGCCATCTGCTGCATCTCTCGGAGAAGTTGCTGGGGAAGAAAGGCAAGGACGTTAATATGGTGGCACCGATGTATTATGGAAGGGTCATGGACATTTGGGTAGTTTTTATATGAACAAGAGGAAAAAGAGAGCAGGAACCAATCTCTAGACCCATGGAGAACATAATATAGGACAAATAAAGGTACTGGATCCCATCCCATCTTGGTAGTTAAAGAGGATGAGGCCTCACCACAACTGGAATGAAGAGCCACCAAGAAACACCAAGGTCTGCAGGCAAACTAGCAAACCAAAATGTACATACAATATGTAATGTTCGTTTGTGGGATTAACAGAACTCAAAAACCACTGGGCGAATTGACACTAAATTTGGACACAAGACACCTAACAACCCAATGTATGTCCTTCACTTGAACTCCACCATCAGAAGAATTGGGCCAAACTTGGCACACAGAACCCCCATGACCAACAGAAAATACTGGAAGGGTATGGTGGGCATTGACCTTGAGTTTGGGAGTTGTAGCTCACCTACATCCAGAGGGTCCAGCATTGTGGACTCAAACAATGATTGATCTGGACCAAACTTGGCACAAATACTCAAAATTTGCAAATGTGGACACTGGAGGAGTTCGGGGAAAATAGACCTTGACATTAGAGAGTTGTAGATGCTGGGATTGATAGTTCACCTACAATCAAAGAGCATTCTGAACTCCACCATCACAAGAATTGGGCCAAACTTCCCACACATAACCTCCATGACCAACAGAAAATAGTATGCTTTCTGATGATCTTTGGCGACCCCTCTGACACCCCCTCATGACCTGCCCACCAGGTTGAGAAACGCTGTTATAGGCCAATCAACTTTATCAAAAACACAGTCTGAACACTGGAAAGGCTGTCAATGCTGTGCATTGTGACATTTTGAAGGCTTCTTGAAAGAAACCTGTTTTAACAGCTTCTCTGAATACCAATAAGGCTAAACATTTTCAAATTGGCTGCTGAGACCCCCTGTTTCCAGCTTCCAAGAGTTTGGGGCAGGGAGGGAGGTAACGCAGCCAGGCACACCTCCGTCCTGCTGAGACTAAGCTGCCGGTGAATTTAGATTCCTCTCCCTTCCCTACCTGCTTTTGTCTTGTATGTTATGCCTTATTTTGGCTGTAAGCCTGAAGGAAAGGACTGTTAAACTGTCGAGTTGCAACATGGATAGAAGACCGCCAACAGATACCAGCTGCTTCAGGGTTTATTTCAAAAGGAAGGACTGGCAAAACCACCTCTGAGCCTTCCATATCTAAGAAAACCCTATGAAATCATGGAAACACCAAAAATTGAAAGGCGACTTGCAGAAACAAATAAACACAAGGTGCTCTTAAGAGTCTTTTTTGACCTAAATAGTATAAATGCTTCAAATCCATCAATCAGAATGGAACTTCGAGAGAACTGGAGCTGAAAGGCAAACATGTCTCCAGTTTCGTTGGTTGCATCTCACTGAGCCAGTTCTTCCTGGCTGGTTTTCTAAAACAGACACAAAAACTGCCACCCACACATCCCAGCACGCCCCTTCCCTGATCGCAGCAATCTCTAGAGATCACTGTCTATACATTGTTAATTGGAAGGGATAAAGAGGAACTCCAGAAGCAGGAAACACAGTGGGACTTGGTAGATTCCCATCAGAAGCCAGAAAGTGACTGGGAGCCACATCCAGCCCAAGCTGTGCATTCCCACAGGTTACAGCTTCCTGCCATTGTACATCATTTCACAGCAACCTTTCCCCATCAATCCACATTGTGTTTCAAGTCTACTTGGACATGTACACATATAGTTGCTTTATGGAGATCTGGATATGGAATTTCCTGGCTGTGGAGCTGAGGCACATTTTGGTAGAGATCTACAAAGGGTCTTCAAAGGGTTTCTATATTTTTGTTGGAAACGGTAAGGGAAGTAGTAGTCGTTGGTTATTTCTGAGAGTGTCCTGTGACTTGTCTGTCTGGCAAGCCAGCTGACCTTGAGGTTTATTTATTTATTTATTATTTACAGCTTTTATATTCTGCCCTTCTTACCCTGCAGGGGACTCAGGTTGGATTACAGTGTACACATATATGGCAAACATTCAATGCCAATTTTTGACATACCAACATATACAGACATACACAGAGGCTATTTAACTTTTTCTGGCCGCCAGGGGAGCTGTCGCTTTCATCATCCATCTGCGACGCTGATGAAGCACTTCCGCATTCCCCGCATGCTTCCCCGCTGGAATGCTTTGCTGGAGTCTTCTTTATGGCCTCATAAATCAGTTAAGGTGGTACCTAATTTTCCTACTTGACAGATGCAACTGTCTTTTGGGTTGCAAGGGTCAACAACAGGCTACACACAATTGGTTGGGAACCCACTCCAACACAGGCTGGCTTCAAACTCATGACCTTTTGGTCAGAGTGATCTTAATGCAGCTGACACTCAGACTGCTGCACCACAATCCCGGTGGCGGTTCAGTATAAGAGTTTATCATGCTGTGGTGAAGATGATGGGGAAACTTATAAATTGCACTGAAGAAAATGTTGACCATTTCCGCTACCTTGGCAGCCACCTCTCCACAAAAGTCAACATTGACACCTAAATACAAAACCGCCTGAGCTCTGCAAGTGCAGAATTTTTCCGAATGAAGCAGAGAGTGTTTGAGGACCAGGACATCCGTAGGGAGATCAAGATGCTTGTTTATAAAGCTATTGTCCTCCCAATCCTGCTATAAGCCTGCAAGACGTGGACTGTCTACAGACGTCGCATGCAACTCCTAGAACGATTCCATCAGTGCTGCCTTCAGAAAATCCTGCAAATCTCTTGGGAAGACAAGCAGACAAAAGCAAAGACCACCAGCACTGAAGCGATGGTCCTCCGCCATCAACTCTGCAGGACTGGCCACGTTATCCAGATGCCTGACCAGCGTCTCCCAAAGCAGTTGCTCTACTCCGAACTCAAGAACAGAAAATGGAATTTTGGTGGGCAGGAAAAGAGATTTAAAGATGGGCTCAAAGCCAACCTTAAAAACTCTGGCATAGACACTGAGAACTGGGAAGCCCGGGCCCTTGAGCACTCCAGCTGGAAGTAAGCTGTGACCAGCAGTGCTGCAGAATTTGAAGAGGCATGAATGGAGAGCGAAAGAGAGGAACGTGCCAAGAGGAAGGTGGGTCAAGCCAACCCCGACTGGGACCACCTTCCACCTGGAAACTGATGCCCTCACTGCGGGAGAACATGCAGGTCATAACAGGGCTCCACAGTCACCTACGGACTCCCCACCAGTACACCGATCTTGGATGACAATCCTACTCGGATTACGAGGGATCGCCTGAGTAAGTTATGCTTTTAAAAACATTTCCCTACAATCTGAAATCTACAAATATTCAAACATTAAAACAGAATTAATTGATACTAGAGAGACCTCACAACCTCTGAGGATGCCTGCCATAGATGTGGCTGAAATGTCTGGAGAGAATGCTTCTGGAACATGGCCATACAGCCCTGAAAACTCATAGTAACCCAATCCTAGATATGCTGTAACTACCATATTAGGTGCCCGTGGTCAACAAACAGAAGTTATGGCTACATATAGTGCCAAATCCTGAGAACATCCTCAAAAACAACCAACAAGCTCTGGGTCTGGATACATTCTCTGCTGGATATAAAGACTTCAGATAAGGATTATGGCATATGAATTAATATTGCTCATGTCCACTTGATTTTTGTCTGTGAAACTCTGAAGTTCTATAAAATCCCAATGCTTGGTACTTTGACCAGTGCTGTGAGTAGGCTGGAGTGAAAGTAGTGTGGGGCTTCGTAGATCCTTTGGCCAACGTTATTGTTTCTTGTCTGCTTACCTTCCTTCTCAGGTTCAGGTCTGTGTTTCACTTGGGAGGACACTGTAGGGCTGATATTGGATTTGGGTTGTTGTAAGTTTTTGTAAGAAAAGGTAGAGGAACGAGAGACCAAATTGCCAATATCTGCTGGATAATGGAGAAAGGCAGGGAGTTTCAGAAAAACATCTACTTCTGCTTCATTGACTATTCTAAAGCCTTTGACTGTGTGGATCATAATAAATTGTGGCAAGTTCTTGGTGGGATGGGCATACCAAGCCCCCTTCCCTCTCTCCTGAGGAATCTGTACAAGGACCAAGTAGCAACAGTCAGAACTGACCACGGAACAACAGACTGGTTCAAGATTGGGAAAGGCGTACGGCAAGGCTGCATCCTCTCACCCAACCTTTTAACTTGTATGCAGAACACATCATGCGAGGATGTGCGGGGCTTGATGAATGCAAAGCTGGGGTGAAAATTGCTGGAAGAAACATGAACAACCTCAGATATGCAGATGACACCACTCTGATGGCCGAAAGCGAGGAGGAGCGGAGGAGCCTTCTAATCAAGGTGAAAGAAGAAAGCGCAAAAGCCGGGTTGCAGCTAAACGTCAAAAAAACCAAGATTATGGCAACAAGAATGATTGACAACTGGAAATAGAGGGAGAAACCGTGGAGGCCGTGACAGACTTTGTATTTCTAGGTGCAAAGATTACTGCAGATGCAGACTGTAGCCAGGAAATCAGAAGACGCTTACTTCTTGGGAGGAGAGCAATGTCCAATCTCGATAAAATAGTGAAGAGTAGAGACATCAGACTGGCAACAAAGATCCGCCTAGTCAAAGCCATGGTATTCCCTGTAGTAACCTACGGATGTGAGAGCTGGACCTTAGGGAAGGCTGAGCGAAGGAAGATAGATGCTTTTGAACTGTGGTGTTGGAGGAAAGTTCTGAGAGTGCCTTGGACTGCGAGAAGATCCAACCAGTCCATCCTCCAGGAAATAAAGCCCGACTGCTCACTGGAGGGAAGGATACTAGAGACAAAGTGAAGTACTTTGGCCACATCATGAGGAGACAGGAAAGCTTAGAGAAGACAATGATGCTGGGGAAAGTGGAAGGTAAAAGGAAGAGGGGCCGACCAAGGGCAAGATGGAATGGATGGCATCCTTGAAGTGACTGGATTGACCTTG